GCAGATGATGATTTTGGATGAACCCCAGGTTGAATCTAAAAAGAACAGTTCAGACAGATATAAGGGTAGAGTTTGAACCTCATAATTTGAAGTTAATTGTTGATAATATGATAGGAAATGACAGAGGTGCTGAGGATACTAAAGAGTGGGAAACTGAGAGTGAGATTACCCTGTCCAAATTAGAGAGGCGGATGGAAACACACACCCTTAATGGGAAGAGGAAGAATTACCTTTAAAGAAGAGACTGAAAAATACCAAGAGAAAAGAGGACTAAGTGAAGTCAAGGAAAATTGATTGCTTGAAAAATGACCTGGAAAATTGGGAAAGAAAGATTCTGAATGGGTTAGGAACTTATGCATAATTGAGAAAGAGCCCACTCCTAAATGTGCATAGGTTTTGAGCTTGTTTGGCAGATTTCTTTGTCTTTGCAGAATGTCTTATTGAAGGGTGCTAATGTTTCTCAAGGTGCTGATTTTAGTTGTAATGACAAAACAAATGCAAAGTGCAATTTTCAAGAAGACAAGTGACTATCACCAGATCCAAATGGATGATTAACCTTTGTGATTGATATGTCCTTATGATGAATTACTAAGAAAATTAAGAAAAGAAATAGCATGTGCAAGAATCACAAGTGAGTGAGAATGTGGCATAGGTTATCAATGATCAACACAAAGTTTGATGTTTGTGCTCAAGGAGGAGAATGTAATGATTAAACAGTGTGATGAGATTATAGGTACCTACAAGAACTATATTTATTGGGCAGAAAGAAGATAAGAGCTGAGATACCCATAGTAGAGTAAACCCTGAATGTGCCTGCATTTACTTAACAGAAGGTTCTTTGTTTGATTTCCTGGACAAAAGTGTATATAAATGGAATATACATACATATAACACTATTATTCAGACTATTGTCCTCATCTTTGTTACCATATTTATCACAACGTTTTGGCCGTTGTACACTCTGGCCTTCTTCAGGCTGTTGGAATGTCGAACTGAACCCTTTATTTCGCTTACTGAGGTAGACTGTTCTAGTTCCACGTGCCATGTCTAATAGATGTCAGTTATCAGTTATTTCCTGTTAACTTACTTCTCCACTGTCTTAACCAGGTATTGAACTCACAACTCTTTAGGTCCTGTCACTGTATCTAATCAATGCCTTTATCCACTGTGCCATGTGTCCTTAAGGACATCTGAGTATGAATTTCTGGGACTTAAAAACTTAATGTCTTCAGCAACCATTTTTACCAGTGCTCATATTGCAATTTTTGCTGTTATTATTGTTTTTCTCTGGTACTCCTTATTACTGGTTCCCATATTGTATTCATTTCTATGCTTGCTCGGCTCAGGAGATTTTTGTGACCTAGCATATGTGCTGATTCCTTAAGTTTACAAATTTTCCAATGATGTTCTTTGTCCATTTCAACCTGATTCCACAGAGGGCGGTGATCTCCCTTTTCTCTCCATATGTGGTCAGCCACGCCTGATTTTTCCACTTCCCCAATGTTACAGTTTTTTGGTGTTCTTGAAGCCATACCTTAGTCTGTCTCCTTTTTATATTTCCTTCTGCAGCTGCACAGGATGATGTACACACAGTCTTTAGTCATGTTCTCCTCTATGGGGCAGGGGTCTTACTCGGGAGAAGTATCTCCAAAGTGTTGTCCAGCTTTTGAAAGTTGTCCTGATGTTATATGGACCGCAGATCCTTTGTATTTTCTCTGATAACCCCTCCACATAAGGCAGGCAGACTTCTGAGGAGTTTTGTCCTCCTCTTGTACCTGCCTATCCCAGTTTATTGGGGCTGCTGCCATGTACCCAGGTAGGTGTTATGTTGTAGGGTACTACTTATACTGACCAATTCTTTATCTAATGTCTCTGGGTCGCCACATGACTTTTGCTCGGTGTTGTAAGCAGCAGGCAACAAAGATGAGGACAATAGTCCGAATAATGTAAATAGTGCACATAATACCTCATCTCAGAAATATAGACAGCATACATATAAGTTAGTGAGTTGCAGCCAGAGTGCAAACTGACATGCCCCATTCAAAAATTGTGCATTAGAAAAAGTCCACCATAAAAGTAATTCACTGTTAAGATGTTAGTAACACCAGCATTACTTAGTAGACATCTAATTTTAACAGTTAATGCCTTCTTGCTCTGATTTATAGCACAACAGAGATGAAGCTAAATAATTTTGTCAGAAGTACATCAATAAAACAACTCATATTTACACCATGTAAAAGGTACATTTTGATAGTATGCAAAAACAGGTCAAAAGGATACCATTTTGAACTTGCCATAAAAAAAGAATCCACTGGAAATAAATGTTTGAAAATTTGAAACTTCACTAATTTGGAGATGAGGAATGCTTTTCCCTGTAGTATTAATACCTTTTCTCATACATGTATTTAATTTTGTAAATTTTGTAATTTTGTGAAATTATGCAATTTTTAACTTGTTATAAAAGAACATTAATGACTATAACACTTACAAATTTGTTTCCTGAAAGTAATCATTACTCAATACTTCTAACAAATGCTTATTGTGAAGTTTTAAACTATTTTATCTTCAAACTAAAGAAAACGGAAATGAAGAAAAAATATATTTATTGGAACAGTTCAATTGTCTTCCTTCATTTTCAATGGTGATTTGCATTTTGATTTTGTTCATAAACCTCTGCTATTCTTGAGACACTCCATATGATATTTATTGAAATGGGTATTATATCAAAGTCCTATCTAAAGACAAATTGTGCAATATCTTAACTGAAAATTAAATGTAAATTTTATTAATCACCCAGGTGTCTCTGGTGTGGAAATACATAAAAAAACAAAAAACAAAACGACCACAATGCTGTTATGGTAATGGCTTAAAAAAAAAAAAATTACAAAAAGATAATGCATGCTTGTAACAGTTGTAGAATTATAAAATATAATTCACTTGAACCTCTGAAATATGATCTAATCTCTAGAATTAGTAAACAAATAATCCTTTAAAAAAAAAAAAAAAAAAAAAAAAAAGATTACATTTTGGAAATTATTACATAATTACATTTTAATTTTTTATTGATCCTTGCACCATACTAAAGTTTAAACATATACCCAGTTCGTTTTTATTTTATTTTTTATAAAATGTACCTAGTTTCATTTTGGAAAAGAAAATGTAAATAGATTTTCAATTTAATTCCCAAATCTCGAGAAAATATTGCCAACCATGAATGTAAATGAAATGAATAACCATTAAAGAAAAACTGGACACTTTAAAAAATTTTATTTTTATTTTTTTATAGACAAATGTGAATATGAAATTTAAAGAACTAATAATATATCCAGTTTCTGTTTACATATTTATTTTTCTATTTTATATGAACTGTGTGTAGTTTAAAAAAAGAAAATTTTTTTTACCTCATTGGCGTCTGTACGTAAAAAGAGACTCGTGGGGAAATTATATATTGTTTTTAAGCTGGCAAAAAATTAACGCAAAATCACAGCGTTCATGAGATGTGGGTGGAAAAAAGCTAAAAATATGGAGTGTACGAAAGACGGTGAGAGAAGAGGAAGTAGTCTACAAACAGCAAAACAATACGACAAACACAACATCTACATTTTGTTACTCAGAATTAGCGTCTACTAAAGAATTTAAGACAGTCTCTCGAATTTAAACTACATTGACTAAGGGTTCCCGTATGCCACAGGGGCAAGAACGAGTCTGGTCCAATGGAGACAACTCATATGAAGTTAACAACAAATACAAAAAAACTGACGAAATTTCTACTAAAAATAGGAGAAATTGAAAAACAGTTATTGATTGCTTTGATTTGTTTCAGACAAAAATTGCCATAAAACTACATCGTGTTTAATGTTTTTAAAGAAAATGCATAAAAACAACAGGTGAGGCAAAAGTTGTTTGAGCATAACAGTTTGAACAAAATACAATGAACACAGTTTTAAAATGTATCAGAAAATATAAGAAAGATTTAAATCAATCAATGAAACCAGTCTAATTTAAGATGGAGTTCAGCTGGTGAAATTCATTCATTCAGTCAGCAATACAAATTTTGAGGTGTTGGAGCTAATGGTACTTGATGAAACGAATGTAGTATACCGGCTTTTTGATTTGTGTGTACCATTATGGGTGCAGAGAGATAAAACCAACTGATTAAGGACAAAACATCGCTCTACAAGAATGTGAAATTTTCACATGGTGAATTTCTATGGTAATTTATCCACTAAAATTTTCAACTTAGAATTTTTTTGTTAGAGGTAATTTCAAACCTTTTCTTAATCCCACCAAATTGACAAGTGTCCATTTTTCTTTAAGATGAGACCATTTTGATATATGTAACTCTTGAGCACAACGAGTTTTAAAAACACTACTATGAAATTGTCAACTTCAAAATATTGAAAAACATGGAGTCATCATTGAAATAGTGACATAATTTAAAGAGATGTGGAATAAAAACTAATTATCACACATGAGAAAGAATTGTATCTTTAGAAAGAGAAGAGATTAAAATTTCAAAATACTGTTGAAAATAAATGAGAACCAGCAGCTGAAATGGAAAGAAACTGCACTATTTTGAAATGTTTTTGCACTGTAAACTAGGGCAGTTTGGTATACATATACATAATTTCATCTTTTTTTCTAACAATTTACACGGTTAAACTCACGTGGAATGTTATTTATTTTTTAGCTAAGTGATTAGAGCAGTCAAATATTGATGAGCAGATATTTTGTACTGTAACTGAACCTTTACTAATAATGTTATATAGGACTACAGTAGTAGAGCACTCAGTGAGGATTAAACTCATGAACAACAGCTTCTCACTCGGAACTTTTCACTCTTATGCTTGGATAAAAGGGCACATAAAGTAGAATTTTATTTATATATCTGAAACATAACTGTCATTTTGGATCTAATAGAAAATTTACCAAAGTGAAAAATAAGTCTTTGCTTTCATTATCTTCAGTAAAACTTAAACTTAAAAAGAAAAAAATCTTACCACACATGATGCATCTACCTCAGCAGTTTTATGGATAAAAACATCACCAATAATCTTTGGGTATCCATCTTTACTGATGGCCAGCCTCTCAGGGTGGCTACTTTGATAAATAGCCAAATAGTGTCGGTTGGCATAAACAGCAGCTCTGAAACAGATAATCAAAAATATTCATAAATAAATAGTTTTAATATAACTGACACACAGAATCCAACAGTTCTGCAAGGAGTTATAATTTTAGAAGTTTGTGGAATCATCCACAACACAACCAGCCTTACCTCTTTGTAGGAAATGCACTTTTCCTATCTGGTAAGCCAAATTCTACTTTCATACAATATAACAAGTATTCATTGGTCAATCACCTCCAATCTGGCTTGCTGATTGGTCAGTTCCGACCAATCAAACTGCCTGCACGCGACCAATCTGTTTTCCCGCTCATATGCTGGGAGCCACTCAGCCATTATAAAAACCAAACACGTGTGAACCTTTCGAGTAGTAGTTACCAAGTGCCAAGATGTAACCTTCACAGACTCCCGTCTTAGTCATTGCTGACCAGACGTTAAAGACAATTACCAACTTAAGAAAGTGACAGCACCACAGAGAATTGCTAACTTAATCCACGTCATTCGAAACCAGATTTTGCCGCCAAAAAAACACCTCAACGCTGACTCGCTAACATTTCAACTCTACCAATTCTGTGGACATTATTTCTTAGATATTGCTTATCTAAAGTAAATTACATTTACTATCTATTAAGTAAACATCTATGTGTGTACGACCATAAAAATATTACAGTGAAAGGTAAATTACTTAAGAACTTTCTGAACTCTTACAAGAAAGACATTCTGAAACCTAAAACATCATACACATTTGCCAACATAACATATACCTATATTCTATTTGTACATCATTTTGAATTGTATTATAATGTCTTGTCCTTAATATGAACTCTGGTACAAATATTCCTAGTTAAAGGGACACGACTCTGTCCTATTCTTTTGTGCATATTGTACGTCAACCTAAATAAATCTATTGTTACATTATAAAACGATTCAGTTGAATTTTGTATTCTATTCTGATGTTGGTGGAAATAGTTAATTGACACGCAACCTATTCTCAACAAATATTACCACACAATTAACCCATTCACCACAAGTTCTTCACTTGGAACTTGTTATTGAATAATTCTTTTAACAGGTACCAAAATAATTATGTCAAAATCTCATTATGTTAAAATGTGAAAACATCAAGAAATCAAATGATGAAATATACATTTTTTTGTAGTGAAATCTTATGTTTGTTTTTATTTACAAGGATCTTTTAATGAGATTTGTTTTCTAAAAGTGATTTTTTTTTAACAAGAAATTATTCATTTGAAGTGTGTGGAGGGTAGGTTGTTTGAAAAATGTTATCTGAAATTCTGAGGTAAAGGATAAACAATCCTTTACCTCTTCATCTTTTGTTGTTTTGCATCACAAGGTTTCAGATGACATAAAAAGGCTAATGTACATATAGATATTTTTCCCCTTCAAATTTTATGTGACATTTTCTTAAATGCCAAGCAAAAATGTTAGGTACATTCATATAAAAGTAACCAGGAGAATAGAGAGGAAGAAATGGTTGGTTAATTCACGGACAATGATATTTGCTTGAGGTTTTATATGAGCTGGCGGTGGGAACAGAGAGTAGAGATTTTACTCACCCAGCAGATTTGATTTGACTCCAAAATTTGTTAGAATGGAAAATAAACAACTTGTTAGTTCCAGCTAATGGGGCAAAAACATCTTGTTCTAGACGGATCATTTCTCTTGACAAAATGTGGCTATCAAGTCTAGAAATATAAAATGGAAAAAGATATTAGCATAAAATTAACATGTATTTATAAAAATTATTATTACAAAAAATTTCAAAATTTTTTCATTTTATAGATAACTAGCTTAAAAGCTGTCCTATCGAGTGGCATTTAAGCTAGCTCCTGTGGAGGGTACTTGATTGGGCCTTCATCACAATAGATAGGGATGAAGAGACATCACAGGCAACAATAAACTACAGAAGAACTGCATACAAGTGTTGCAGTAATATTTAATCTTACCTTTTAAAAATTCAACAATAATTCTTCTGCTGCCAATTAATTTAAAGACAATTTGATGTCTGTAGGTCCTTACTTTCCATAGAAACAATTATTTTTATTTCATGGGTGACTTTTGCTGAACTTCGCAATTAATTTTGATTATTTCCTAAATTTATTTCTAAGTTATAAAAATTGTTATTGTACAAAAAAATCACATAAAAAACCTTTCTGAAAACAATTGCAGTAATGAAAAACTTGGAATCCAAAATTTCAGTATTGCAGGTCCAGATCTGACCCAGAATGTTTTAATTTGCTCACAGAGTACACCTGATCCCAAAACAGTGTGAAATGTTGAGCTATGGCCTCTAAAAGGAGTAAAGTTGAAAAAGTGTGACACACTGACATTCATATTATATGTCTTCAGGTTTCCCTATTCATCACACAGAACATTTGATGCTTAAATAATGGGAAAAAAATTCAATCAAATTCTTCATTCACTTTAGAAAATTATATTACACTAAATTTAAACATAAATGACTTCATTAAATTTACCTTTAAAGGAGGAAACAAACAGTCAGATGTGATATTCAACTACCTGGAGCTATAAAAATTTTGTATTGTATTTTCATTCTTCAATGTTAAGTTTTAACTTTAAACAAAAGGAAAAATATGGGAACATCTTTTGCATTAAACAAAATCATTTTGAATGAATTTTTCATTTTTACAAATAAAACAGTCATAAAAACTTTATTATATATGACTAAGAACAGAGTTGAAAAAAAAAAATGATTTCTACAAGCAACATGATAAGCTAAGAGGTTAAAGGAAGGGGGTTTCTACTAACAACAACTGCTATTTTTCACTTATATCTTTACTATACAAAAGAAAATACATGGTTATAAAAACAACATTTATTGAAGCTGTTGTCTGTAACACTAAAACAGTCTCTTTTTGGCATGATAATTTTTATTTTACAATCCTATTACCAGAAAAAATATGCATCACCAGTTCAGACACAAATGGCACACTATGTCACAAGATGAAAATTTTATCAAAATAACTAGTATTTCTAAGCAAATATATACTGTACCCATCATTTTTCAGGGTGTTTCTTTTTAAAATATTTGATTAAAATAATATTCTTAATTTCTATCACATATTATCATTATATCAGTCAGTTAAATACCATCCGTGATACATGCTTGGGTGATCTCTTTCGAGACATGACTGATGAGGCAGATTTTTTTCCACAATAGGTAGACTGGTTGCCAACTAAAGCTAAAGAACCCAGTCTGTCCTGCTATTCAACCTATAGCTGGAGGAGAAGAGATGGATTCATAACTTTCCCAAGGGTATTTGTAATAATTTCTTTAGTCTTTTTTCACTAAAGAAATTATTATTAGTAAAATCTAGTAAGCTCTTTTTTATACTGACAAGAGCATATACATGACATCTTCAACTTTTTGTTACCATGAATTTTATTAGTAATTATTAATATTCCAACTTATTAGTAAAGTTTTTAATAGTTACTAAGATTTAAATTAATTATTAACTGCACAAAAACATGTGTAAAGTGCAAAAAACATGAAAATCTGAATCCAGGCAATATTCTTTTCTTAATGGAATGAAAAATTGCAGAGTCAGGTGAAATCTGTGAAAAGTACAAAAATGAGGAAAGATCTTATGCAAGGCCTTGAGCCTACAACATAAAGGAAGATAAAAGACAAAGTGTAATATCATTAATCCATACCACCAAATGATATTATCATCATCCAGTTAGAACTTACTTCATCCTCTTCATTGATGAATACAAGTTCATAGAGACTCTACATTAAAATTAAGAATTTATTTTACTAAAAATAAAAAAAAATAAAATTCAAATGTTAAGACTTCAAAACAGTTTTCTTATAGAAAATATTTTTCTTGTAAAGTTAGACACTATATTCCAATAATCTCACAATTATGGTTATATTTTATATGAGGATGTACTGAAAAATTCTCAGCTTGACTGAAGTTCTGTGTTGTCATTTGATCAGATTTTGTGAAGTGGGTTGAACTTTACAGAAACTCTTTGTATTTAGGTAGATCAAATTTTCTATTTTTTTTTTTAGCTACTTACAGATTTTACATGTTTTTCTTAAAATTGGTTATAAAAAATTTGAGAATGTGCAACAGAGAAATCCTTTGTATTTTAGGGTGTCCATTAATACTGCACTTGAAACAATTTATAAATGAAAAAGATAAAGTTAAGTTTTATATGGAATTTAGGGAAAAAAAGACATTTGTAGTATTGTTTTTTAGAAGTAAAGCAAATTAAAGTGAAAACAAGAAGAATCATGGAAGAGATACATGTGATTGAAAATTATCACTTCAATAACAAAAATAAAGAGCCTTTCCTGTATTTCTAGAAATGAATTACAACTTCTTTGTTCAAAATTCTATAAATTAATTATTTCACTTGATGGTAGCAGTTAGTAAGTTAAAAACTAATGAAAAGAAAAAAAGGGAAGTGAAAGGAAGAGGTTTTTCTGCAAAAGTAGTGTAAGTGTACAGTACATAATCATTCCTACCCGAGGGCTTTATCCATTGCATTCAGCCTAATGGAATAGGAAAAAAAAAATACACACTCAACATATGACAGTTAATAATAAGAGGAAAAGAAAAAAAAGCAATTATTTTTTCATCCTTTGGTGTATAGTTGCATCTTTCTTTCAGATAATGCTAAATAATGCATCAATACCAGGTTTCATTGTCAGTCATCTTGTTCATAGTTGACACTGGGATCTCAGAGACAAGAGGCAAGTCAATTTTTTTATAAATGCTATATCCATTATTATTCATGAAAAGCCAAAGCTTACACAAACTTAGTTGATTGACATTTGTTTCATAAATGAAATGTAGTTTAATAAGACTTTGAACAAAAACTTGATAACAGTAACATCAACATTTAATTTTACAATTATGAAAATTAAACTGCAAGTCACAGATGGGTTAAAAAGGTTCTGAACTCTGCAGAGTTAATGCAAATTGTCATAAAAATGTTTTCTGCCATACATACATACATACATACATACATACATTCGAATATTTAGATATAAATAGCTACCTGATATCATAATTCAAAAAGACAAATTGCTTACTTGAAATTATCACAGCAGTTCTTCTTAAAGGCAGTTTCCATTGGTTGAAATATCTCAGGATTAAACAAATAAATGCCACAGTTGATAATGTTACTCACAAATGTTTCTGGCTTCTCAACATAATGTAAGACCTGGTGAAAAATAATGGAAAGAAATTTGGCTACATAATAAACAAGCCAGATGAAAATATCAATACAATTTTATAAAAATTATAGAAAAAAACATCTTAAGCATACAATCACATAGTATTTCTATTGCTTTGCCATAGCTCTGGAAGAGTTGTATGTGGTGAAATACTGGTCATGGTAAATATATTATGTTACTGAATGAAAGTGTCTTCATAGCAAATGAATCATTAATGAATAGACATGTAGTATGGTAAATTGTGCTATTAGGAGGAAAGATACAGAAATCATTACACATAGCATAAGTAGATACAAAGTGAATATATAGATAAAGTTATTCTGTCACATCTAATATTGAACAAATTATGTAAAAACGTGATTGCCTCAATGGATTGTTCAATAGAAAACAGAACTTTTTCAAATTTGTACACCAAGTTGACCTGCTACCTACATAACTACTTCAAATTTTTCTAGAGAAGTTTGGAAATACTTCAATCTCCCATGAAATGATTTATTTCTTCAAAACAATAAAACTTGTAGCATTTGTGAGAGTAAATCTTTATTTTTATGAGAAACAAACTGTGCTCTAATCACTAAATTAAATTCCCATTGGTATATAAGTAGATATTTATTGAAATAAGCCAGTTTTGATACATTAATATACATTTTAACCCCTGTAATAAAAGAGCCAAATTTGTCTATAGAAATCAGTAAATACTAATACATTTTAGTCAGATTTATTTCTTGTCTTTATAAAAAGAAATTTGGTAAAAAAAAGCTTTTAAATTTAGGAAGGCACTTAGCAGGATGGATTAATTTTGAACAGAATTATTACACAAACATCAGTTATGTTTATAGAGCTATATAGGGCACACTTAAAAATAAATAAATATCTACTGGTATTATGAATGAGAAGCCATGTACTGATGCTTTGTGTTGTATAGCTTCAGGTGGGTGGGCTGTCAATTTGTGAAAAGTCATGTGAAAAATGGCCAGACAAGCAAGCAAATACAGATTTCCTCTAGAAATGAATATACACTTGCATTTCTTTATCACTATTTAAAAAAAAAAAAAAAACTTTAAAAATTCGTTTTTAAGTTTTTCCTTTTTATTAAAAGAAAAAAAACTTTGTAAAATTACATATAAAAAGGAACTTTAATTAATCTAAAGTTTAATTGTTCATAATTTAAACTTAAGAGAATTTAAACTCTGCATCTAAAAATAAAAATTTACCAAAAATAAACATTAGATGAAGATGAAATTGAGCTAAAAAGAAAAACAGCTGCACATCATATGCATTTGTATGGAGATGAAAACAGAAATAATTAATGATTTATTCAATGTTTTATTATCCACTCTGAAGTACTCCTCATAAGGTAATGATTTACCTCCTGTGAAAAGCTTGGAGGGGGAAAATTATAATACCAGGCCTTCGTAATTTTAAATACCTTCAATAAAAAAATAAATAAACAAACATACAAGTATCCCAGCTTATTTAATTTGCTAGATTTTTATAACAAAATCTGTCAAAGCATAACAGTTATATATTGAATTAATTGCAATATTTGATAAAAAACTATAAAAAAATTTGTGAATATATTTTTCTATTTTAAAATTCTAAAGTTTAATTAGGAAAATAAAACTAAATTTTTATTTTCACCCCAAGCAAAGCAACAATGCCACTAGGCTGGAGGGGGTTACAAAGAGTGAAAGAGATCCAGTTGCCAATCTACGTGCTCACTAAAGAGAACAGCTCATCAGAACAATTGCCATGAAAATATTTGTAGAAAAGCCAGGTCATTTTGGTAGGAAAGTGGCTGAAGTTGAGGTGACAGGTCAGGATCGATTATAGTACAAACCCTTCTTTGAATTTTGTCAATAATCTTGAGAAGTAGTGAGGGAACCAGACCAAATATCACAGCAATATTCAATGCACAAACAAGTGGTAGATTTATAAATGTGCAAGAGGGATTCTGATTAGACGAATTGTCTAGCATAACACAGTGAACCAAATTTCCTAATAGTAGATATAGAAACTGATTTAATATCTGTGGAAAGCACGAATCCTAGAAGGTGCAAAGTGTGTCTCTCCTGGAGTTTAGCATTAGCCTTGCTGAAGGCAGACAAAAGATTCTGCAGTTTTGTTTCAGACGTATTAAAATTTACAAGCCATTCTTTACTCCAGTTAACCACTGATTGGAGGTCCTTTTCAAGAGCAGTTGCTAGTTCTGTTTTGTCAGATCTGTCAAAATTGCTACTAAGGCAGGTGTAAGTAGTTGTGTCATCTGCACAGATACCTAGTTGGGAGCTGATGACATCAGGAAGGTCATTGATGAAGATCAGTAACAGTGTAGGTCAAAGGATAGAGCACTGTGGTACCTCTGCTTTAATATGAAATGAATTAGAATGTTATCCATTCAACATGATCTTCCCTATACAATTTGTTAAGAATCACTGGATTAAGTCAAATATTTGTCCAGAGACACCATAGACCTTGAGAAGGCCAGCATGCCAAACGCTTTTGAGATATCTAGGAATACAGTCTAAGCTTCACTGTTCTTACTTAAAACTTGATAGACAAATTCAGTGGTGGCCATTTACACATCAGTAGTAGGCCTGGGAAGACAGAAGCCATATTGCTCATCCAAAAAGTGGTCACCAATTCATCATTCATTAGAGCCTCTAATACTTTGCCAAAAAGAGGTAATAGACTAATAGAGCAATGATTTGAGGGGTCAAATGGTTCCCCAGTGTTCTTGAAGACAGCAACTACAGGGAAAGACTTCCAACAAACAAGTAGTAATGAGACATTTATAAGTTTAGAGAGCAGAAGACCCAGTTTAGGAGCACATTTCTTTAGGATAATTGCAGGGATACTGTTGAATTCACAAGCCATGTGGGGATCTAGTTTAGAAATGATAGAACAGTCTCTCTCCATCTATGGTTTCTGCTAACTTGAAAATCAGGTAGAAATACTCCAGATGAGTCAAGAGTAGAATTGGAAAAGAATTTCCAGGGAAAAGGACACAGCTTTATCTGCACTAGATGAGAACATTTCAAATTGATTGAAGAGAGGAGGAACTGAGCATTTGCTCTTGGTTAGTACATTCTTGTTGAGTTGCCAATAGTCTCTAAAACCAAACTTGCGAGAGGCTATATGGTGTCTCATTCTATTAACAAATAGTGACTTTACCTATTTGAGGACACACATTTACATTCATTATGAGTGGTTACAAAAAGGATGTCCATTATAAATAGGACCTGTCACTCTAGTATAACCAGTGAAGTGGGCTATAGTGGCTGAAAAGGCAGGAGAGAACCAAGGAGAAGATTGTGGTTTCACTTGGTATTTCTGTTCTGGCATTAAAGCTTTGATGCTGACTTTCACCCAGGAAAAGACATTTCTCAACATGATGATTAAAAGTATCAATCCAAGTGACATCATGAGGGAAAACACAAAATGAGTCCCGATCAGTGCATGGGAAAGCAGAAAGAGATATCTATAAACATTAATACATTGTTTGAGTTACCAAGAGGACAGAGCTGAAGAGCATCACATGATTCCTGACCAAAAACACTAATGTTTTACTTTATTTTCCAGTTTTAAAAGCAACTGTACAGACTATAAAGAAGTTTAAACCAAAAGTAAACAAAATTCATTTTCTCTGGATTTTATTATTAAAATGTGTAAAAAATTGTGGATAGCATAATTATATTAAGTTAAATAATATTTAATCAAATTTTGAAATGAATACTTCTTACTTTTATTCAATATAGACGGAACTTTTCCCCCCACAAAAGAAAGTCCAGTTCTGTAAAGTTTACTCAAAGCAATATTATATTAAAATTTTTCCAACCTTTCTTATTACAAAGGCACAAAGAATTTGACAATCCTTTTCCATCTTCAGAGGTAGAATTTCTGTAAAAAAATTGTTTTTCATATCTATTATGATCATTTACACATGCATAGATCTGAACTTTGACTAAACACTTGACAGCATAACTGAGACAATTACTCACCTCATGTGTTTCTTTACTTTCCACCATGCAACCAAACTTTAAAGACTGTTGACTTGTAGCCTGTGGAAAGAAACAGCAATGCATAATAAAAAGGAATCAGAAAATGCTTGAGTTTTCTTGTTGATGACAAAATTCCCAGTGTTTGCTCTTGTGGAAAATTGGGGAAGGAGGAAGTATAGTAACCAATAAATAAAGTAATAGTTGCTTTGATTTCCTTTAACACCCATGAGAATTAAACTAATTTTGTTTTCTTACTGTAAAATTCACCCTGTAAAAGGCCTTAGAGATAGAGGTTTAAAGAGGCACAGTTTATATGGATATGTAGGGATGATAACATTTAACTCTAGACTTAAGCATGTTCAGATTGTAGTGATCAGGAAAACCTCCTTGCAGTGGTAGCGTTTGACACACTGGTACCTCTGGAGGTATCCCTGACATCAAGGCCAATGGCGAATGTTGACTTACTGGAACGTGAATTTCAAATGCATCATACCATTGGAATCTCTTTGGTATTTTCTGTAGTAGTGTGTCTGGGTCTCAATTGATTCCAATGTCTTTTGCACCAAAATTTTTCCCCTTTTATGCCATATATGACCTGTCCAATTCTTTTGGTTATCATTCTTTCTTACCAATACATTTTCCCAGCCCTAAAGTTCTTGAAAAAAAACTTGTCACCTGGCTTATACGCTTTAGTCATCTGGTTTTCTTTTTTAGCAGTTTTCTTCGCCGGACTAGGCAACAGCCTATTGAACACAGAGTGTATTTTTCTCACAAACATTAACTCTGCTGGCAATAACCCTGACGTCGTATTCGGGTATGGCATGATTCTATATACTGCCCAAAATTTCTGAATACTTTTTTTGTTCATGTCCATGCCTTGGTTTTTCTTCAACCCTCATTTAAAGGTGTCCACAAATCTTTCCACCTCTCCATTTAATCTTAGATGATATACTGGTGTTGTCACATGATCAAGGGACAATGATCTACATAATTCCTTGAATTCTCTTTCTGTAAACTGCGTTCCATTGTTGCTGACTAAAGTTTTAGGGAGTCCAAAGTGACTAAAAATTTCAGTAAGTGCATTTATTGTATTTGTTGCAGTCGGATGTCTGCACTTAACAACTTCTGGCCACTTAGTGAAACTGTCCACAACGATCAGGTAATAAGATCCATTTATGGGCCCTGCATAGTCGATATGCAATAGAGTCCATGGGACATCTGTCTTTGGCCATGGTTGAATCTTTACTGGTGGATACCTTGCTGCCAGTTGACATCTTCTGCACTGTTTCACCAAATTTTCTGTCTTGGTCCATCCTTGGCCAATAAATATAGCCTCTCATTAGAGATTTCATTCTTGAAATCCCTGAATTTCAGAATTTTCTTTTGCAGAGTAACTGGCATTACAACTCTATCTGCGTATAGTAATACTTGTTCGCAGATTGAAAAAGGTGACACACTAATTCCTTTTTTAGTTTTCTCGTTCAACCAGACTAGCTTTTTCATTTTTTTAATGAAATCATCGTTCACCGCTGCTTTTTTCACATCTTCTAGCATAACCAGTAATTCTCTAATAGTATTGCATAACAGACCCGACAATTCACTTTTGTCTGTTAGTGCCACTATTACTGTTTCTTCCAGTGGTTCCGTATGTTTTGGTATCAATCTTGATAACCTATTGGCATGACCTAGCCTTTTTGAAGGCACATATTCTATTTTGAAATTATAATTGTAACACCCCTGGTTGAGGTCTGTGCAATTTCTATGGCGACTGTTCTCCACGCTGTAATGTTGCCGGGGGTTGGTTGAAAAAGTCGAAGTCTCAAGCTGGGGGCACAAGATAAACTATTGAAGGAGCAAACTTCCACAACTTAGATGAGTTTAATCATGCTTTATTTCGTTCAGACTTAGTCTTGCAGTTGGGGCAGGCGATGTGACACTCAGCTCTAACTAATGGAGATCAAATGCCGAACCGACCGACTCGGACGAACGGAGTTTCACTTCTTCATCGTGCCTGACACATGTAGCTACTTCAAGCACATGCCCGGCTGAACTGCTTGGCTCGGAAAAATCACTTTTATTTATATTGAAATAATCGCAAGTCCACTGGGTGAAAACAAAAGATAAGCATTGGCGACTGTAAGTTCAAAATTTCGAGGTACTTAAATTTTGCTTCCTTTGATGTGTAAACATCCTGCAGACATCCCGTCTGCACTCAGCCTCCAATGATGTATTTTCCAGGATTTTTTTTTATCTTTTTATCTTAACAAATCTTCGTGTGAAGTTTTTATAGCCCTGGCACTTTCTCAGTAACCAGGCATTTTTTTTTTTTTTTTTTTTTTTATTGCCTGGAGAAAGGGAAAATTCTATTATCTTTTCTTTATTTCCTTAATGTGTTGTCGAGATACAGTAAAGACAGTTTTTGACCTGGTCATCTAAAATCTATTTCCTAAACGTTTATCTTTTATCACATCAAATCACTTAGTCAAATATTTTATTGGAAGACTGGTAGGATTTAACAGTAATCTGATGCCCTTTTCTCTTCCACAAATTTACTTATAAAAGAAAAAGTGTTTATTTATTTATTTTTTTCCTTTTCTTTTTCCCTTAGTACTTTTGTTAAACGAAACATGTTTTTAAGCTATTTTTCTATTCTTAACCATTTTCTATTCTTAAAATAAAATACATATTTTACAAATCCACCTTAATATACGCCTAGTTATCATGTCACATAATTCAATAGAATTATATCCCAACGCTCTAGTCGATTTGCCGTGTGAGTTGGTATATCTTTTTTTGAACCAAATATTGTTAACAGCAGTTTGTGGTCTGTTTGCAGAATAAATTCTCTTCCATATTGAAACCTGTGAAATTTTTTTACACCGTAGATTATTGCTAAACTCTTTTTCAATTTGACTGTAACTTTGTTCCATGGGCAGTAACATTCTCGAGGCATGTGCTATTGACTTCGTAGATCCGTCCTCGAATTCATGAAGCAATACTGCACATAGTCCCTCATTACTGGCATCTACTACTACAATGATTTTCCTCTTCAGGTCGAAATGTGCTAATGATAGGTCTGCTAATAGACAGCTTTTTATTTTTTTTAAAAGCCTGTTCGCATTCTTTCGACCATATCCACTTTGCGCCCTTTTTCACCAAATTATTTAAAAGAGCTCTCATATCATACATTTTTGGGATATAAATGCTATAGTAACTTACTAATCCCAAGAAGGCTGGAGTTTAGCCACATTATCAGGTGCTGGCCTATTTTTTTATGCATGTTTATTGTCTGGTACTTCGAACATTCTTCACTGACTTTAACCTGAAGGTAAGCCTCCGACAAGTGCAACTTTGAAAACACTCTACCTCCGTTTAATTTAGCGAACATATCCTCCAGAGATGGTAAAGGGTACACATGGTCTTTCACACAATCATTTAAGCCTGTCGAAAAGTCATCACACACTCTGATTTTTCGGCTTTTCTTTTTTATATATATATGGTTGGAAACACCCAATCTGAGTAATCAACTTTTGAAATTTTGCCAATTTTCTCCAACCTTTCTAATTCCTCATTTATTGTGTCTACTGCAGAAAATGGTACTTTTCTCTTTGGTTTAAAGATTGGTTTAACATTTTCTTTCAATTCGAAGTTGATTTCTGTTTTTGTGCAGAGACCTAGTCCTTCTGAAAAGATGCGAGGGAATTCGCCTCTCAAATCCGTAATAAATCTGCTTGCTTCATCTTATAGTTCTCTATGACGTTAACTTTGTTACACAAAGAATTTACCGGTAATTCCCATAAATTAAACAATACAATCCAGTCTAAACCAAAGAGGTTTACTGAACCAGGGAGCACATACACTTTTGATTTGTGAATTTTTCCCATGAACGCAATGTTACATTTTAATTCACTTCTAAACTTAAGACTTTTTCCTGACACTCCCCTGGCAATTTTGTCTGTGTTAGTCAATGGTGGATAACCAGTTTTTTCCTAGGTTTGCTTGTTTATTAGAGATATCACTTCCTGAATAGAGTAATAATTTTACAGTCTGCCCATTTATTTTTACATTGATGTATTTTCTTCTTTGAACCTCCTCAATTTCGTTTTTAGACAAAACTACGTTCACCTTTGTTTGAGACTTTGCTTTTACTTTACTCTGTTTTGCTCGACAATGGGAACTTCTATGGCCTACACGCCCACAATTAAAACATATTTTATCCCTAAAGAAACAATCCTTCTTTATATGCTATCCTCCACATGAACTGCATATCATTTTCCTTTCTTTATTTTGTATCCATTTCTGTTGTCTTACAGTTTGTACTCACGAAATGCTTTTCTCCTCAATCTGAGAATTATCTTTTTTTATGTTTATAAGTCGCTGACATTCTTCTGTTATTTTTTGTAGCGTAATCTTTGTATCCTGTTCCATGATAGTAAGGATTTTTGATTTAATTTTTTTGTCCTTCAGTGTTGTTAGACCCTGCACAAAAATTAGACACTTGAACATGTCGTTTGACAATTCCTTTAATTTAAATGCCTCACACTATGCGTTAACCATACCTGCATACGTGACAAAATCATCACCCTCTTGTTTTATGATATTTAGACACGTGTATGAAACAAACTATCACTTTTATTGAAAATTTGACAAAATTTCTACTGTTTTGCTGAATGTAATTTCTTCTGGCTTCTTTAGGAGGATTAAATTTGTGTATTTTGTATTTTCTTCTGTTCCTAACTTCTGCAACAATAGAGTGATTTTTTCCTCGTTGGACCATTATTCACATCTTTTCGTAAATGTTGTTTCAAACCTACGAAAATAAGCCGGAAACATTGGACCACTGTCAGGGTTGTATTTAAATTCAGAGAGTGAATTTGAAATTCCTTCAGCAGAAAAAAATCTAGAACCCGATTCTTTTGTTGTCCTAGATAATACATCTTCCCAAAGTGATTTATTGTCTTTTGCCTGTTTTTTGAGTAACTTTTCAAACCTTTCTTGTTGCTGAATAAGTTGTCGTTGTGGGAATTGTTGCTGTAAAGTGACTTGTAGCACCTTAGTTA